ACCAAACTTCTTAAATTATGTTCGGTACTTTTTTTGCTGAACTTAGTCTGTAAAATACAATTTTTACCGATTGTTCTGTAAAATACTGTGTTTTACCGGTTTTCAGCATTTAAAAGTGACGAATTTCTGTAATTTACAGAAAATTACCATAAAATGTAAATAAAATTACGGATTGAACCTGTAAATGGCTGCAATTCCGTAATACTGTAAAAAACTAAAAAGTACCGAACGATTTGTAAATTACGTGCTGTCAAACTTTTTTTTGCCCACCTTTTTAAAGTTGGTTATGACTCGTTTCTCCGGTGTTATAAAGTGCGCAATTGGAAAGTGTTTGAAAAATGAGTAAATACTCCAAAAAATTTAAGCTCTCGATGGAGGAACAGAAGATCTTTTTCGTTAGTAAGTAAAATTAAAACTTATAGTTATAATATTATTATTATTTTTATCATTAATTTCGATTATATTTTTTAGATGGTTCTCGAGATGAATGAAGATCCCATCATGTGTTTTTCCTACGGTCAGCTCGGGCACCACCGCCATCACCATCCATGCGCTATCAGCATTTGTGTTCCCTGCAGAAGTGAAGAGATGCATCGGGAAAATGCATCCACCGAATTCAGAGAATGAAGGAATATGAACTCTGGGTACCTTCATGTTCCAAATCACAATGCTGTTAACAGCTTTCCGAAACAGACGGATAATGCATGCATATTAAAAACATTGTAGCTAATAACATTCGTAGATAAAAAATATACCAAATAACCTATTTATCTTATTGTTAACTTCAAATTTGAAAAAAAGAAAGAATAATCCATGCATGCATAAAAAATGCAGTAACAAAACAATCGGTAATTTTTACCGAACAAATTTTAGATCGACCGGTAAACATTTTACAGCATTTTCGGTAAAAATTTACAGAGCGGTATCGTTAAATTTTGACAGCTCAGCTGAATATAAATTTACTGAATGTACTGTAAAACATAAAAATTACCGAATCGATTACCGAATGTTCAGCTGTTCCATATTCGGTAAAAAATTACAATGTTCTGTAAAAAAATCTTAGTGTGTACGAATTGTACACAAGTAAATGAAAACTACTTTGGCCCGCTTTACCTACTTTTGGGTTCCTACACTATAGTGCCGAGATGAGTGAAAAGAACTTACTTTTGGGTACTTTTTTCTTAGCGTGTAGAGATGTGATCCGATAACAGAGATGTGAACGATACAAACAGATATTATCCGTTTTCAGAGATTTAAGCTAGGGCCTCCCTTAGCTAAGTCGATAAAGGCGCAGCTACAAAGTAAGACCATGCTGGAGGTGACTGGATTCGACTCCCGGTTCGGTCTAGGAATTTTTCGGGTTGGAAAATTTCTCGACTTCCCTGGGCATCGAAGTATGATTGGACTTGCCACACAATCATATCAATGCAAAAATGGTACAGGCATCGAAAGCTCTCAATTAATAACTGTGGAAGTGCATCTAGAACACTAATTCGAGAGCACGCAATAAGCTAATATGCGATATACAATAAGCTTGAAATGCGAAGAAGAAGAAGTATATCCATAGAGGTAACTCTAAAACGCTGGCCAGACTGGAGAGTTATAACATGTTATAACGGTTGTCAAATAATTGCAACACAGAAAGCACCATCAAGATAGCGCTATAACATGTTATAACTCTGTAGTCTGAACGTACTATAAGACCACTGGGTCCCGAAGAAAATCATTATTATTTTTGGCTCAATCAGTACCAGAACAACGGTCCCAAGCAGTCCCAAGCTATTTCACTCACCCCTGCATGTTCTGCATGAATCCACACACCCCTGATGTTATCTGTCAAACTTTCATAGCGAATCAAAACAAACATAGTGTAGTAATATTTTTTTTTTTTTTTTTTTTATCTTTATTTTAGAGATTTTTAGCCTGAGGCTAGTTCATCTCTTAGTGTAGTAATAGAATTTCAACTAGAATAGGGTACGTTAATCGTTTGCTTGGGACCAATAGGCTGCTAAAGTGGTGAGCCAATTTAAAATCGTTAGTTTCGTATTGATTGTTGGTATATCTCAGATTATATCGGATATAGTCGATCAAATGGATTTGTTCGATTATGAATCGATTCATCGAGCTTTAGAGCTAGTTTTGGCAACATTTGAATAAATCTGGGACCTTCATTTCATCAATGTTGGTGTACTAGAACTATTTTAAATAAGTGCCATTACATTAACAAAAACACCATCTTAGCACCCCTTGGTGGGACTTTGTATGGGACCGAACTATCAACTGCATTAGGTGAGCATTAGGGCCTAATTTTTTTTCCTTGATTTGTTTTCCGTCGATCTAGTTTTCCGTGCTGAGCACCAATGTTACTGGTGCCAGGGAGGCAGCTCCCACACCTGGACCCTACCTATCGACCCATCAACTCATGAACCGAAGACGAACAGTTGTTACATAGAGGTAACTCTAAAACGCTGTCCAGACTGGAGAGTTATAACATGTTATAACGGTTGTCAAATAATTGCAACACAGAAACCACCATCAAGATAGCGCTATAACATGTTATAACCATAGAGGTAACTCTAAGACCACTGGGTCCCGAAGAAAATCATTATTATTTTTGACTCACTCAGTACCAGAACAACGGTCCCAAGCAGTCCCAAGCTATTTCACTCACCCCTGCATGTTCTGCATGAATCCACACACCCCTGATGTTATCTGTCAAACTTTCATAGCGAATCAAAACAAACATAGTGTAGTAATAGAATTTCAACTAGAATAGGGTACGTTAATCGTTTGCTTGGGACCAACAGGCTACTAAAGTGGTGAGCCAATTTAAAATCGTTAGTTTCGTATTGATTGTTGTTATAACCATAGAGGTAACTCTAAGACAAGTAGGTCCCGAAGAAACGTGCTCAACTTTTTGGCTCACCTCTGGTACTATCTTCGGTCCCAAGCTTGTCGAATCACCCCTCGAAACATAGGAAAAACCAATAACCCCTCATTTTATCTGTCAAACTTTCATAGCGAATCAAAACAAACATAGCGTAGTACTAGAATTTCGACTAGAATAGGGTACATTAATCGTTTGCTTGGGACCAATAGGCTACTAAAGTGGTGAGCCAATTTAAAATCGTTAGTTTCATATTGATTGTTGTTATAACTCTGTAGTCTGAACGTACTATAAGACTAGTAGCAACAATCAATACGAAACTAACGATTTTAAATTGGCTCGCCACTTTAGTAGCCTATTGGTCCCAAGCAAACGATTAACGTATCCTATTCTAGTTGAAATTCTATTACTAAACTATGTTTGTTTTGATTCGCTATGAAAGTTTGACAGATAACATCAGGGGTGTGTGGATTCATGCAGAACATGCAGGGGTGAGTGAAATAGCTTGGGACTGCTTGGGACCGTTGTTCTGGTACTGAGTGAGCCAAAAATAATAATGATTTTCTTCGGGACCCAGTGGTCTTAGAGTTACCTCTATGCTAGTAGCAACAATCTAGCTGAGCCAAAAAGTAGAGCTCGTTTCTTCGGGACCTACTAGCAACAATCAATACGAATCTAACGATTTTAAATTGGCTCACTAATTGACTAGCCTATTGGTCCCAAGCAAACGATTAACGTACCCCATTATAGTCGAAATTCTAGTACTACGCAATGTTTGTTTTGATTCGCTATGAAAGTTTGACAGATAAAATGAGGGGTTATTGGTTTTTCTTATGTTTCGAGGGGTGAATCGATTAGCTTGGGACCGAAGAGAGTACCAGAGCTGAGCCAAAAAGTTGAGCACGTTATTTCGGGACCTTCTAGTCTTAGAGTTACCTCTATGCTAGTAGCATAGAGGTAACTCTAAGACCAGAAGGTCCCGAAGAAACGAGCTCAACTTTTTGGCTCAGATCTGGTACTACCTTCGGTCCCAAGCTAATCGATGCACCCCTCGAAATATAGGAAAAACCGCGAACCCCTCATTTTATCTGTCATACTTTCATATAGAATCAAAACAAACATAGTGTAGTACTAGAATTTCAAGTAGAATGGGGTACGTTAATCGATTTACTTGGGACCAATAGGCTAGTCAAGTAGTGAGCCAATTTCAAATCGATAGATTCGTATTGATTGTTGCTAGTAGGTCCCGAAGAAACGAGCTCTACTTTTTGGCTCAGCTCTGGTACTATCTACGGTCCCAAGCTAATCGATTCACCCCTCGAAATATAGGAAATTCCACTAACCCCTCATTTTATCTGTCAAACTTTCATAGTGAATCAAAACAAACATTGTGTAGTACTAGAATTTTGAGTAGAATGGGGCACGTTAATCGATTTGCTTGGGACCAACAGGCTTGTCAAGTAGTGAGCCAATTTTAAAATCGATAGTTTCGTATTGATTGTTGGTTGTTAGCTGTTAGCTACCCATCGGTGTACCTCCATGTTTGTCTTTTTCATCAGAGTGTCGCTTAGTTCGAGATCAAGAGCACATTGCTCTCCAAACCTTGTGTTCACAATCCCTACCCTGCCATCCATTTATTACAATTTGTTACCCCTAACCTCGAGATAGCCGCGAGTAATCGGCCCCCGCTTTACTAACGTTAGTTTTAAGTAATTTTGTAATCTAAACAATGAATACCGGCTCCGCAAAGCTACATCAAAAGAGCCTGGAAAAATAAACGCATTATATAAAAAAAAACTTATTTCAATCCGAAATGGGTTTTGTTAAATACTTTCAACCACAACAAATTTTGTTCTACCGATATCCATTTATTTTCATAAAATCCCTTGGTACCGGTAATATACCGGTTTTACTGAGATTTTACGGAAGAGATGAAAATAAGGCCGCGATAAAAAGGGTTGTGTGCGAGGTTGTGGACGCATTATTTGAACGTGCCCAAATTATAGATAATAGTGCAGCGCCCCTCGGTAGAGGAATCGATATTTTTGACATTACACGAACGATCCAGCTCCCGCTCCTCGCTCTCGGTCTGTTTGTCATTTTCTCGGTCGCTCGTTTGCTTGTCGTCAAAAATCACTTTGCCGAAAAAGAAGCTGCTTTCTTGGGCGGCTAGTTTCTTCCCTTTTCGTGTATTTTGTGGTCAAAATACCAGAATAAAACGTTTGTATTGTTCTAAATCGGTAGTTCTTGGTCAAAATTAGTCAAGATGGTAAGTGGTGCTTAAATTTTACGTAAACTAATAACACAAAGCTTGGTTTGATCAGTGTTCCTCTATAGAGGTTAGAAATTTTGTTTCCGCATCAAGATGGCAGAAATTTATGATTTTCGTCCATAAATCGTTAACTGGGGTTGTTTTATCTCTACGCTTAGATTTCTATTGCATATCATACCAGTGCATTCTTAACATATTATGATACAATGTTCGTTTCCAACATTTTGCTCCTAAACGTTTACTAACAATGTCAACAAACCTCTTCCAGACGATCGGCAAGAACAACAAAATGATCCAGCTCCTGAACTATCGGGTGCGGATCGTTTTGCAGGACTCTCGAACCTTCATCGGTACCTTCAAAGCATTCGACAAGCACATGAACCTGATCCTCGGAGACTGCGAAGAGTTCCGTAAAATTAAACCTAAAAACACCAAACTACCAGAGCGGGAGGAGAAGCGTGTGTTGGGATTCGTGCTGCTACGAGGTGGTAACATTGTATCTTTGACGGTTGAAGGTCCTCCGCCACCAGAGGAGGGTCTTCCAAGAGTGCCGATTCCAGGAGGTGCTCCCGGACCCGGAATGGGACGCGTTGCTGGTCGAGGTATGCCAGCCAATATCACCGCAGTTCCGGCCGGTTTGCAAGGACCCGTCCGAGGTGTTGGGGGACCATCTCAGCAGCACATGGCCCCGGTAGGACGTGGCGGTCAGGTTTCGGCTCCTCCTCAGATGCGGCCGATGATGCCGGGTGGCCCTCCACCTGGCATGATGCCCGGCCCGGCAGGACTCGCTCAGATGGCCGGTATGGCCCGAGGTGCTCCTCCACCGATGCGTGGCCCACCACCCGGTATGATGCGCGGAGGACCACCACCGAGGCCGTATTAGATGTAACAACTATACATATACATACTGCTCTGCCTCTGTCGTAGGGGAGACCTAGAATTAAGTTTAAGAAAGCAAGAAGATCTTTCTGCATTCTTTTCTCTGTATTTGCATTATAATCAATAAAACTGATGAACTAAAAGAACGGTTTGATGTTTAGTACCTAGTAATTTATTTCCTTCTATAAATAAAACAAAACCCACCTTATTGCCTTCATTCTAAAATATAGAAAGCACTTACCGATGCTTTTATTGCCAATACTTTGCAAACCATTTCTACTGGTTAAACCGAGAAGAAAAAAACACTTCTTATATACAGTCTCTACGGCAAATTTTGCGTGCGGGCGGAACATCCCTTCTACGGCAGCAACAGCAGCCCACCGTCTCATGGTTTACTGTATCGGTAACGCATCTTATCCGGGGGCTCGCAGTACTCCTTCACTATTAGCTTGCAGAGGAACACATGGAAAACGACAATGATGACGCAAATCGAAACCCAAAATAGCGTCGGAAGTGCCCCAAGCGAGTGGCCATGTTTGTGCAGTGCAATGACGTGATGTTCGTGAGCCGGCGCTTCGACGACCTCCTTCACGTGGATCGCGTGCCGCAAATCCTCCATGTGCATCTTGTCCGAAGTTATGTAGAGGATCGATGTGAGGGGTTCGGTAAGTTTCACTGGGAAAATCGTTTTGGATGGACCGAGCTGAACGGGAGGATCCAGGCAACCGGCATCGCAAGCGTAATAGTTTCGATCGGAACGATCCAATGCGACAAAGAGGACAGCTTTGTTATCATCCCGAACGGCAATGGAAACATTCACGTGCGTCATATTGCCATAATTTAGGCGACGGAAATCGTAATCTCTATGAAGGTATTTTGGGTGAATATTTAACTCCAGGTGCTGATTGCTGAAGCGGAAACCACCGAAACTGAGGATCATGGCTTGAATGATTCCACTCGCACCTGCCTTGATGAGGTTGTGACAGCCTTGCTTTTCTAGAGTCAACATCCAAGAAGCCACAATGATATTCAATTCTTCCAGGTTACTCATCTTCCTCCAGAGGTTTTCAGCTTGTAACGTATGATAACTGTCGTAGCAACCTTCCGCATAGGTCAGTGCCCTCTCAATATCTTGCTTACTCTGCACAGTGCTGGATACTTCGTACTCATATGCCCTGGACTGCGAGATAACAGCATACATGGTCGCATTGACATCGTTTCCATTCAACGTATTCTCCGCCTTGGAAGTGCTGATATGAAATCCAGTCTCCCACAGACTGTTCCACACCTTGATGTGATCTCGCTTGAAGGCATAATATGCATTGTGCTCCCCGTGTTCCGCAGCTTGCAATGCCTTATTCATCGCATCAATCGTCTGCTGCTCAATCATTTCTTTGTACGACGTATACTTGTCTCTAGGAATCGCATCGGAATAGTTTATAGTCAGCAACAAGTCTAGCTTTGTGGTACCACGCTTCTTCAATGTCAAAACCCGCGGCATTTTACGGGCCACAATGCAAACCACTCGGATTCTTCTATCGCCGACGGAAGTGGCGATGACGTCCACCAATCCCGTTATCACCTGGTACTCTAGGATGGTCGAACCATGTTGGAGCCTAAAATAAAACCAATCAATCAAACTCGTTCCCAGCTCCTTCCGATTTCAACTCACTTTACGCTCCTAGTGACGGCTGTAGGCCAGTCTGAGATCCTCGGAACCACCAGTTCCACGTCGACCAGTTGATTTTTAGTGTTTGTGATCTGTATCTCCTGCACCAGCACCGAAGGCATTGTCCGGTGGGCATAGTACTGATAGGACACAAAATATCCCTCAGAAAAGCACTGGAACCGGTGCACGATTCCACTTAGGTATTCCACTACGGTCGCTTCCCGGTGCATTCCCATTCCACCAGCAGCGACACTAACGATCGGATGAAAGTTGACCGGCTGAAGTAACGCTCTGCCACGGAAAATATTCAGATTTGCATCCGCTTGGATCTCCAACCCGAACATCCCGTTGCCCACGTATGGAATGGCATCGTGTTCATGCGGAAAGATTGGCTGATGACGGATGTTGACATTGTACTCCAAATTTTGCAAGTAGAAGGGCGTCAACCGGTCATCCATACACCGAATGGTGTGATCTGCTTGGAAATATTTGTTTTTTCTTTATTTACCCCAATCAACAGAAACATCTTTCATACCTTTAGCCGGTTCGCTTCCGCCAAACAGCCACCGCAGGAAGGACGGTCCAATGTACAGAAGGAAAACGGCCACCACGAAGAGCAGTGCAAAAAGTTTCCGGTAGGAAATGTTGCCGTCGAACGTCCGCTTCAACCGACGCGTAAATTCACTCACGTCGAACTTGGTATTCATTTTGAAAGTAACACTGTCGCAGTTATTGCTATCGATAATCGGCCACTGCCACGCAAAATTATCATGTTTTTCAGCGACCTAAAACTTGCAGCATTTTTTCACCTCCGAAAAAATCTGATGTTTTTCACTGTCCTTTGCGTTTCTTCTTCGGTGTTGAACTTGTCAAAGTTACGAAACGAAAACAAAAGCATTCGCCCTGTGGCTGAAGTTTTGCTGCACATATATATACACGCTTACTTGTAAGTTTCCATGAAATGAGTACAGAAAATTGTTTGCATTGAACCAAAAAAAAACTTTATTTGTATCCCGCATAAACGCGAACCATCACATGACCTTACCGATAATGGTTATAAATTGTTTATAATCCCTGCTTAACTTCAACTGAAATGGTTATGGAACTTTACATGAACGTTTGTGTGATAAAGTTTTAACCTTATGTATTATGGTTTTTTGGAACTGGACCTTACAAATAATGGGTTGTTTAAGAACCATTACCATTCCAAATTCTTGTTTTCTCCATACATTTTCGGAAAGAGAACTATATTAGAACGTTCTTACTTATGGTTTGAGAACATTAATGGTTATGGTTATGGCTATGGTAGTCAGTAAGGTTCATTAATGGTTTTGTATTATCACTCAACTTTACGTGAAATATATCGTGAATTGGTAATCAGTAATTTACAGGCAACCAATTAATCATGTTTTGTTGTTTTTGACATCATCCATATCCAGAGGGCATTTCAATTTCGAATGTATGGGAATGGTAGGAAACCATTTGGAAATGTATGAAAATTTTCAGTTTTTATTCATTATCGTCTTTATGGGCAGTTTTAGATGCACAAAAATTGAACGAGTACATTATTATGGTGATAAGGTAAACACTCGTTTATTTGTTTCCTTCTGTGAAAGCATGTTTAGTCACCAATCGTGGATTTTCTGATATTCTCCATACTGCAAAAATGATTTTCCTACCACTGAAGGGGCGACATCTCTCGGATCTTCAGTATAGCTACTACTCAAATCATATAATTAATTCGCGATATATTCCACATAAAGTTGATCGATGTTACAAAACCATTAATTGACCTTACTGGTTACCATAACCATTACCATTAATGTTCTCAAACCATAAGTTAAAAGGTTTTAGTATAGTTTTCTTTCCGAAAATGTATGGAGAAAACAAGAATTTTGAATGGTAATGGTTATTAACAACTCATTATTTGTAAGGTCCACTTCCAAAAAACTATAATACTTAAGGTTAAAACTTTATCATTAAACGTTCATGTAAAGTTCCATAACCATTTCAGTTGAAGTTTAGCAGGGATTCCCTAATAAAAATTGTATGGTTAATTCGCTTAACGACGTGTTCTGGGTATCATCCAAACCATTTGTGGAATAGTTCAATGATTTGGGTTATCGTTTGTTTATGGTTATTTTTTATTAGGGTTATAAACAATTTTAACCATTTTAGGTAAGGTCAATTTATGGTTCGCGCTTATGCGGGATTTAAACAAACAATTCCGGTTGAAATTATATTGCATTTTATTGATTCGATAATACTTATTCAAATAAATTCAAAATAAGATTCTTTTTGTTTTAATAAGCCACCGTTAAACTCCAACTATTGTTAAAATAATAGTACGTTCAGACTACAGAGTTATAAATAACATGTTATAGCGCTATCTTGATGGTGGTTTCTGTGTTGCAATTATTTAACAACCGTTATAACATGTTTTAACTCTCCAGTCTGTACAGCGTTTAACACGAGGTTTAACAATATTCTTTTATTAAGCCAACAATAGTACATTTTAATTTACCATTTATTTGTTGTGTCCGTTCTCCGTGCAATGAATGAAAAAATAATTACCAACCATTCCCTCGTTTTCTCCTGGAAAAAAATGTAAACAATAACACAAAACTGTTCTCGTTTGATTCCTAGTTTGATTCAGCACTTTTCCGCGTTCGACGTAAGCATTGTTTTTAACAGTGAATTGGGTTCTTTAAGGGTATTGAGATTAACCTCAACATATTCGTAATCTGCATTAAAAATGGAACCGAAATCCAAAATTTCATCCATTTTGGAACACTGGAACTATTTTAAATAAGTACGATTACATTTGCAAAAATCACATTATTAGCGCCCCTCGGTGTCACTTTGTATGGGAGCAAGCTGTCAGTTTGTGAGTTAAGCGTCAATCAGTGAAATTATTATTTTGCTTCAGGGAGTAGCCTTGCTTTCCGGCAAGACTGACGAGGCTGCTCAAAACACATAAATTATTAAAATCGGAAGCAAGATCGAAAGTATTCGAAAATTTCATCAACCTACCTCTAAATCCCGTAACTGGAATATCTTTCCGATCCTTCCACTCCTAGTTCCACTCGATAGCGTCAGAAGAGAAACAAGCGCGCCGACGGATGAAAATGTGGGAAACTTGAAGAAACGGCTGCTGCTCATGTTAGCTGCTGGTTTCGTTTTCTTTTTTTCACATGTCCAATTTGGCGGGAAACGGTGGTCTACTACTGTCAAAAACTTTGCAATGAAGAGGTTTTTGACAGTTTTTCGACTTTTATTCTAAAAAATACTTTTATAAAATTACAAGTGAAAGAAACACTTTCAAACCAAAAAAATATGTTTTATTTTGAAAATTTTCATAGTTAAAACTACGAAATTTGGGAAACTTTTAATTTGATCTACCATTATTTTTATAGCAACAATTTTTGTTCTTTGTGTGTAGATGCGAGAAATGAAAGAAGATGTTTTGAAGATTGATTCGCTAATGTGAGATTTATTGAGCATAAAGAATTGAGATTTAGATGTCTCGCGTCACTTTTCAAATAGACCAATGTAACAAATGTAAACAAATCGAGTTAAGCGATACAAACTATTGCTTTTCTGTCATTGTATGTGATACAAAAACATCCATCCAAATTTACTTTAATTTATTTAAAATAATCATTGATCAAAAATTGTCCAATGTACAGTTTGAAATGATGGGTACATGATTGTTACTTCGGTCATTCGGACTGCCTAACATGATTGGTGCTCATTTTCCAAAGGCGGGGCCAATCTAAAGTTAGGTACTATACTCTGAAATCTGTGAAAGGGAATCTAGTATCATGTAGACAAAACGTCCAATGTAACACTCACAGATTATGTCATTGAGAAAAATCGTCCAATGTAACATGTCCGATGTACAACTCGACTTGTCAAAACGTCCTATGTGATTTTTTATATGTTGTAGCATGAAATTCAAAGTAAAATTGTGATTTTACTGTTTCTTCTGAATTTTCAACGTTATTATATGCTGACTACATTAAAAATAGTAATGCAAAATGTATTGTTTTTAAACAATTAAAATAATAATCTGTCGATCTTCAACTTCGATTTTTTCAAAATGGTGGATATGTTACATTGGTCTATTTGAAAAGTGACGCGAGAAGTCTGACTGTAGCATCTTCAGTCTCGAGGTAAGAAAATAAGAGCGGAGCAACTTGCAAAAACGGCAGTAATTTTGCAAAATCTCTTCGTTGCTCTCTCCGTTCCGTTATCTTTCTTGTTGAGTGTTGATCGACTAAATAAACCGCAGTCGCTTCTCGTCTCGTCATCTTTACTTTCTCAACCAGTGATAGAGCAGTGTGCGATTATAACTATTTTTTTTTCCTTCCGGAATAATAATCTCGTTATCAACCCATTTTACAACAGCATTTTGATCACTCCAAACTGCAGTAAGTGGTGTGGTGCACCGCCTGAAATTTTAATAATTTTAGCAGTGAAGGTAAAACGGAAATAACTTTTTTTTTACCGTGCGCTTCTTCCGTTGTAGTTTGTGTGAAAAATGGCCTGTTCCAAGACGATTCACGGCTCAGCTGCTCTGCTGAAGAATTCAGCTGCATTCAATAGTTTCATCGGTAAAAGAGCCTGGTAAGTAAGCGTTTTACACACGAATAAATTGATTGGAAAATGGAGTTTCCACCGCACTGGAAACGACCTTACCGGCATTCAAGGTCACGGTATCATGCGGCCTGCAGAGTAATACAATTGAATTCGACGATTAAATAGGATGTTGTGTAATTTGCTAATAAATGATTGTCAGGTGGTGTGCTGGTTATACCTAATTTTTCTAATCGTGGCGTCCTGGTGTTTGACGTCCTTCTTAAATCATTGATTACCTAACAAATTTTATGTTTGGTGTAGGGAAGTTAAAAATAGAACAACACAACATTGTCTAGGTGGTTAACCTTGTGCGAAACGCGTAAATGGGTGATGATAATGAATCTAACTCCTATTTCCTTCTTTTGCAGCTCATGGTGGGGTGCGGTGCAGATGGGTCCACCGGACGTAATCCTGGGTGTGACCGAAGCCTACAAACGGGATACCAACCCGAAGAAGATCAACCTTGGTGTGGGTGCCTACCGGGATGACAATGGCAAACCGTTCGTGCTTCCCAGTGTCCGCAAGGCCGAACGCCGCCTCATGGAGAAACAGCTGGACCATGAATACTCGCCCATTGGTGGAACGTCCGAGTTCTGCAAGTACAGCATTTCCCTGGCATTGGGAGATGACAGCCAACACGTAGCAAACGGACAGAATGCCACGGTACAGTCAGTCAGTGGAACCGGTGCCCTGCGCATCGGAGGAGCCTTCCTGAATGGGTTCTTCCCGGGCTCGAAGGACATCTATCTACCAACTCCATCCTGGGGTAACCACGGTCCAATCTTCCGTCATTCGGGACTGAACGTCAAAGCCTATCGGTATTACCAACCGAGCACTTGTGGATTTGACTACCAAGGAGCTCTAGAGGATTTATCGGTAAGTCTTAATAAAACGTAAATTAGCCTTTCAACCGGTTTCTTGACTTGGTGGCGCCATGATATGGCAAATTACTCTGTGAAGAGAATGATAAGAATGCTTTTTAAATAGTCGTTATTTGTTTCGGGATCACTAGCCTATATGGAAGAATAAATCGTCATTGAGTGTATATCAATTTACACAGGGGAGATAAGTCGAGACAAGAAATAAACAATAAATTTAAACTGCACTTTGCTGGGGGTTCTATAGTTGCTACGCAATCAATTTGCTAGTGTTACTGTTTGATTGATTCGTGCTTGGGTTATCACACGATGACGCATTTGAATATTTGTAGAGCCAAGTTGTTGACTGTTTTTCATAATGTTTGTAACTAATTCCATTTGTTAACCGAACTTGGCATGTATTAGGTATGAATCCTAGCCTATCTAGGATCCATAAAAAGCATTTGTCGCCATGAAAATGACCCTTATATGGTACGCAGCGATGCCAAATGAATGACAGATTGTTGACGATGAGAACATTGACTACGATTTGCTTGAGTTTTGAAAAGACTAACTTGGTTTAGTCTGGTTATGGATGTGAAAGTTACGCAAGAAGCTTTGGAGAAGTTCAGGGGAAACATTGACTTCGAACGTCGATTTCTCTTGAATGACCACACACCCACGGAATCTGACTACACCAGCTCATAGAACAAACATACACAGAAAAAAAGTTGTTGAATATTACATCCAAACAGCTGCACAGAGGTCATTCCGCCGGTTGTGTAATATTACGTTGTACGATGTACATCGATTTTGCGAACAAAATTACATCTATTGATGTAATATTGTATCTGCTTTTTGCTATTACATCATTATTTCATACATCAGCTTGAATTACGTTGATCGATATTACATTTTTTTTGCTGTGTTGTTCTGCACGGTTAGAAAAAAGTACCCAAAATTAAGTTCTTTTCACTCATCTCGGCACTATAGTGCAGGAACCCAAAAGTAGGTAAAGCTGGTCAAAGTAGTTTTCATTTACTTGTGTGCAGTTCGTATGGAATTTTCCACTGGCTTTTTAACCAAAAGTAAGTTAGTTGTACCCAACAGTAGGTAAATATGATTATACTCAACGTTGGGTTCCCACACTTTACCACTCCTGTTGGGTGGATTTGCTCCTCCGTTTTTGACAACATTAGAAGGAGAAAAGGAGACAAACTAGTCAAAAGTAGGTAAAAGTGAACTTTCCGTTGGGTACTTTTTTCTTACAGTGTGTTAGATGATTTAGTTAGTTTGAGTTACAGACGGTATAGTAAACACAGACCGGCGGATACGAATCTAGCGGAGCCAAACGAACTGTCAAAATGTTGAGCCAAACGGACAAACGAATAATGTGTGGAGAGTATTGTAATCCCGAACATGGTTTTCCGTTATTATGTTTTTAATGATTAAAAAAAAGTTTAATCTTCTTGGTGTCTTGGGTGCACTATTCTTTATAATGCAAGAAATAAGCGCACCGAAAACACCAATAACATGAGACGTAACCGAGCACTTTTATCACACTTTTTAATAAGTTTAAAATGCGATCATTTGTCCAGTTAGACGTGAAGTACACAATAGATCCACATTGATCTAACACACAAAATAATCACTATTTGATCTCACAGAACTTTATTTTTGACACTGTTGACTCTGGGTTTTGTTCCAGACAAATTGGTTACATTCAAGATTCTCCGGAGGATTTGATTGCATACTTGTATCCTCGCTTGTATCATTAACGGATTGAGAATAATAAACAAAATCGGCACTATTTTCGCCGTCATGTTCATCCGGGTGTAGGAAAATTTCGTCGAAATATTCAATATCTTGATACTGCATACTTGATACTGTCGAGGTTTGTAGGCTTGGATGTATGTTCTCAATATCATCAACGTCATCCTCCATACTACGATCAGTGCGTTTTAGATGAGAAATTTGCTGGACATCTGAGTAGCAGGGAATCGCCCCGGAAACTTTTCTGATTTTTCCTCCACAGTCCAAATACCCATGCTCCTCGCCAAAGTGCAACTAAAATCGGTTTGAAAAGCTTTGTTGTTAAGTCTTCACTTGTGAAAAATAAGTTTACTTACGCTACAAAGTCGGTTACTTCCGACTATTCGAAAATCTTCCGGCAGTCCGCAAAACAGTTTTCATTGTTTCAGAATGCCATTCTTCGCGGGGAATCGAAAAAAAACCCAACATTTATTATGCCATAGTGGGAATTATTCATGCAACCTTTATATAAACACTTCATTTTCAAACCAAAATTAAAGCTTGTTTACATAACAGCTTGCTGCACTGAATACGAGTCATTCTATGTGTAAGCATTTGCAAGTGTTGCTAGACAATAGGAAAAATAATGTAAAAATAACCGTGCTGCCATTTTTACGGGATTTCTATCCGCCGGTCTGTGTTTGCTATACCGTCTGTAGTTTGAGTGGGTGTGTTGTCATTTGTCATTCGGCGCACAGGTCTACTTCACATCCATATATATCAGTGCCAACATTTCAAAGGGGCGTAATTGCTTTTGTAAACAATGACTTTAGCCGTCAATTTCTCGCGAATGAAATCTTACCTCTCCAAAATTACAATGCTAGCAGGTAAAGTAAACATTCCTCTACCTGGTGGTGTCATTATTTTTCATGAGTGAGCTTTTATTCGCGAGAAATCGACGGCAAAAGCTATTGTTTACAAATGCAATTACGCCCCTTTGTAATGTTGGCACTGATATACCGCGTATAGCCTGGTACGCAGCTGAAAAGAAAACGGAAAAGTAATTTTTGAGGATTTTTCCCAAAAGAAAATTTGACAGCTATAGTCTGCTAAATTTTGAGATTACAGGGAGATGTCGTCAAATTGTAAAATCAACACTTATTAGTGTTTATGTTGTTTAAATGCATCCAAAACATCAGTTTTGAAATAAACGCCAACATTACCTAACGGAATAATTGATCAGACCATTATTCCGCAAGGAAAGTGAAATTGCATTCAGAATGCGCCACCTTCATGTCGATCACGATACTAATGTAATCGATCTTTCCTTTACCGATTTCTTTTGAACTGCATACTGGGTCAAGAAATGCTGAGGAAAAGTAATTTCTTTTGCATTCCGTGTCCCATCCGGTAGCACATAAAAACGTCATTACTTTTCAGCTGCGTACCAGGCTTATTCCTGTATATACCTCAAAACACAGATCAGTTGGAAATTTCTCCCGGATGATACGTTTAATTTTTCCATATTTCCCTAGCACTTTATCCAGCTCGTTGTCGGGTACCTCTGGTGGCAAATCATACACGCGCACATATTGAATGAATTCACCAGCATGCGCCATGCGTACCTTTGCCGTCGTTCCATTCGCATAATGGAAGATTAAATTCTCCGAATTGAATGTCAGAGCATGGAGCATCGCTTCCTCTGATTTGAACTTCATGAAGACTCCCCTTTCCTCACCAATGCGATAAACTGCTTCAATTTCAGCCGAATCCGCGTCGAGTACTTTGGCGACATTTACAGTCTCTCCGATGTTTGGTTTAACATCATGGTGGCTGAAGCTAAACTTGATGGTGTTTTTTACTTCACACATCTTGCACCGTAGTAGCGAGTCTCGAAAACAGGCTATCGCGAGGTTCACACCGAAATAAAAAATCGACTGCTGCTGTAGTCAGCTATGGGACAACTGATAAATACTTTCCTTTTTATAGCTGAATATTATAAACCGGGAAATTAGTGAGATTTAAACCGGCAAAAAAAACGAGTATTTCAAAATTAAAATTCTCTTGCGACCCTGGTTTGAACAGACATGAAATAACTATATCTACCTGACCTGAGATAGACAATATTTCAATGTCCATGCTAAGATTTTCCCAATGAATATCTTCACCTGTTTGATTCTTATTTCACTTTTCTTATCCTCCGCAGAAAATTCCAGAACGTTCCATTGTTCTCCTGCATGCCTGCGCCCACAATCCAACCGGTGTCGACCCGCGTCCGGAACAGTGGGCCGAGATATCTGCCGTCATGAAGAAACGAAACCTGTTCCCATTCTTTGACATGGCCTACCAGGGCTTTGCCAGCGGTGATGTCACCAAGGATGCGTTTGCCGTTCGTGCCTTCCTGAAGGACGGTCACCAGATTGCACTGGCTCAGAGTTACGCCAAAAACTTAGGCATGTACGGTGAACGTGTTGGAGCATTCTCGTTGGTCTGCACCGACAAGGAGGAAGCCGCTCGTACCATGTCGCAGATTAAGATCCTGATTCGTCCGATGTATTCCAATCCTCCAATTCACGGTGCTCGTTTGGTGACGGAAATTCTTGGCGATGCCAGCTTGAAGCAGGAATGGCTGGGCGATGTCAAACTGATGGCCAACCGTATCATCTCGGTGCGTAGCAAGCTGCAGGACAATCTGAAGAAGCTGGGCTCTTCCCGCAACTGGCAACACATCACCGACCAGATCGGCATGTTCTGCTTCACCGGCATGGACCAGAAGCAGTGCGAACGACTGACGAAGGAATTCAGCGTCTACTTAACCAAAGACGGCCGCATCTCGATGGCCGGCGTTACGACCAAGAACGTCGACTATCTGGCTGAAGCCATGCACGCCGTAACCAAGTAAGGCAAGCTCGAGCTTGGCAACGAAAGTAAACCGAAACACACACTTGAAAGCATTTTGCCTGTACCCCTTCCCTTGGTTGGACAAGCTTGAAGGATTCATTTAGATGGAGGCATTTAAAACCAAATTAATCAAAGTCTGCACTAGAGCTTTTTTGTTTTGATCTATCAAACTTACTGCGTACTGTTTGCAAGGAAAAGTGATTTACAGTCAAACCCATATTTTGTATATTTATATATTTACCTCCTAAAGGTGTACGAGCACGATAAACAAAAACCAATATGAATATAAAAAACGATGCATGCACGAAAAAACACGACTCGGATACTGATTCGCAGCAACTGATAGTTGATAGAAATAAAAATCATGTTAACAAATGTAGACAAGAGATGGTTCATTTTAATGAAACTCCTCCTTCTTCTCTGGTTGTCGCCTAATTTTCCTCTGAAGGAAAGGGTTTCATTCCGAGACCGTACACAGTTTTTATGTCATTAACATCAGGGATGCAAAATGTCTTCACCGCTAGACCGCTAAAAAGTGTTCAATATTTCATGATGTCAAGGGGCAATCAACTCTGCACACTGTGCCGAAACACATCGTAGCACAATGATCGGTACGTTATAGGGCACACGAGGACAACATGATACAGAGTACATATAAAATGGCATCACTGCTTTGAGTTGATATTTTACCAAGCGTTGCTAACGTTTACTACTTTGTTTACTTCAAAGTAAAGGGGACGTGTTTTTTTCAGTTTCATTGTTTTGTTGATTTTCCAGCGAGATTGTCCCCATAATAAAAGGTTGGACAATCGACGCGACTCTCCGTGCTTATACCTTTTGGGGGATGGACCTCTAATTAAAGAAAGTCCACAGGATATTGCAGAGATGTCCATAGCTTCGGAAGGATTCATGTTTTAGGGGAAACCCAAGAGCCACTATGCCGCGCAGAATAGGCCTTCTAACGTATTAACCCCAAATGGCAATAGGATTGATGTGCGCTGTCCATAACAACCCGGTACATAACGATCCCGTCATTCTTCAGATGCAACTAAAGGGCGAACACGAAATTATTGCGACACATTCAACAGGGCATAACTTTTTTACCATTGGGTAAAAATCAACCAAATTTTGCACACTTTCTCATTGATGTGTATTGTGTACATGCTGTCAAACTCGAAGTCGTGTTTTTCGATTCAACGAAAATGGAGGTGAACCAACGCGAGTTGAGAGAACAAATTATTTCCAAACACCTGGAATTTCCTGACCTGTCGCACCGGCAGTTGGGAAAAATGTTGAACATTCACCATTCAACCGTCTCCAGAGTGTTGAAGCGGTTCCAGGAGCGGTTGACGTTGGACCACGGCAAAGGAGCTGGAAGAAAACCCGGACCGGAGAACAAAAAGACGGAGGGAAAGGTGAAGCGGATGATTAAAGCAAATCCCAACGTCTCAAGCCTTGATTTGGCTAAAAAGATCGGCATGTCGCAGAGCTACGTCCAGAATGCAAAGAAGAGAGCTGGACTACATACATACAAGGTACAAAACTTCCCAAACCGCGATGAGCGGCAACAATCGACGGCTAAAACTCGGGCACGGAAGCTCTACGAGAAGATGCTGACAAAATATGGCTGCTGTGTGATGGACGACGAAACGTATATAAAAGCCGATTTTAAGCAAATTCCGGGGTTGGAGTTTTTCACCGGCAAGAGCAAGTTCGATGTGGACGACAAATTTAAGAAGAAGAAAATGTCGAAGTTCGCCTCCAAATATCTCATTTGGCAGGCCATCTGCTCTTGCGGACTGAGGAGTGAGCCTTTCGTGACAAAGGGCACAGTAAATGGCGAGATCTACAAATCTGAGTGCCTCGAGAAGCGCCTTTTGCCGTTCTTGCAGCAGCACGACGAAGCTCCGCTATTTTGGCCAGATTTGGCATCATGCCACTATTCTAAAAGTGTCCTGGAGTGGTATGAGGCCAATTCTGTCCATTTTGTTCCAAAGGACATGAATTCGCCAAACTGTCCGGAGCTGCGCCCGGTGGACCAGTACTGGGCAATAATGAAGCGGGAACTTCGGAAGAGCAAGAAGACAGTCAAAGACGAGAAGGACATGTTGAGAAAATGGAAAAAAAAACTTAGAAACTGGTACCGGATGACACTGTAAAGACTTTGATGGAGGTCATCAAGCGAAAATGCGTTCAATTTTACACTCAAGGCTCCATCGATTAACTTTTCTTTTGATTTTTGAAGTAAATATATGCATAAAACTACCCTAAAATTTTGGTTTGATTCTAAACATTATAAGAAAATTGGCATGACATTTTCGGTGTCGCAATAATTTCGTGTTTGCCCTTTATAACCGCAGCAGTTTCTCCCGCAGAACCACTCGATACAATTTACGGTCAGCCAAAGATATCTAATTAACAAAATATCCCACTAATTAATTCTTCATACAAAGCTTATAGCAAAGATATCTAATTAACAAGATATCCCACTAATTAATTCCTCATACAAAGCTTATGGTCACCACCCTTATGTGATCGCAGTGCTATCTGTTGAGGGCACATTGAGTTCCCCGACAACTTTACCACCAGGGCTTAATAACTGACAGATGTCAACGCGGACGTTGATGATCAGCCGAGGGTAGAGGACGATATCATCCTCGAAGTCATCATTGATTGCTTCGATTTTCAATCATTACCACTTTATACGCAACAGAAATACTTGAGAAGACAATCACACATCCAAGCGCGCATCATGATGTGCTTGTAAAATGTTTTACTTTCGAGCGAAAGAGTTTCCAATATACCACCGGTATCAGTAAGATGCAAATCTCTAATAGTAATTGATGATTTACGGAGCTGTTGTTCAACATAATCTTAATAAGCATAGAAGTAAACGTATGAAACCCTTCCCTCTCTCTAAAGAATTATTCCAACACCCCAGCCACTGGAAATGCAACGTATCGAAATCATTGCTTAACGTAATAAAATATTCCGGCTTCTTTGGTCAACGCAGCACGCATTCCATTCAAAATTACGTTGTAATAAACATTACTTTTCTATTTTATAACGTAGGAAGTATTTGACAATGCCGGTGAAAACAAACGCAAACGGGAGTAGCCGAAGCTGAATGATGACGATGAGTGATGACACCGCTTCGTGTTTTGATTTGCGCTGTATCGTCCGCTCAGTTGTGTTGGTTCGTACCTTGAATATCTAAAAAAATATTGAAGATAGGGACTTGTTTCCCAGGACAAAACGGCGTATTTAAAAAAAAAACAAACATGCGACTATGCTATATACACATAAATAGCTCGTTTAATCATCCATCCGTGGCCAAGTGCTTTCATACGATGTTCAACGTTTCTATTTGCTGTTAACGCATTGTTCAGGCTATCATATCAAGCTATGACCGACGTGACGACTGTTTAAGCCCTGGTTAAACAAGCTATTCAAATGAAATTACGTTCTCGAAAGCAATCAATGATGTATCCCAAACTGAATCAAGCGTGCGCTATATTTTTTCTAAACATTCCGAATCGTTCCATCCAGGGTCTATAAGTTTCGATTTTCTACAACTGTAGCTTGGGATAAATCGTAATATCAGTGTTGGCAAAATCAGAAATCAATTGATATTTTCCGCTCTCATGCTCTCGCAATATCACACGTGATATTGGAATAAAACATCATGCTTGATATTGATTTTAAGCTCCTTTGATATTGCGAGACTATTACCAACAATCAATACGAAACTAACGATTTTAAATTGGCTCACTACTTGACTAGCCTATTGGTCCCAAGCAAACGATTAACGTACCCCATTCTAGTCGAAATTCTACTACTACACAATGTTTGTTTTGATTCGCTATGAAAGTTTGACAGATAAAATGAGGGGTTAGTGGATTTTCCTATGTTTCGAGGGGTGATTCGACTAGCTTGGGACCGAAGATAGTACCAGAGCTGAGCCAAAAAGTTGAGGACTTTATTTCGGGACCCTTCACTCACCCCTGCATGTTCTGCATGAATCCACACACCCCTGATGTTATCTGTCAAACTTTCATAGCGAATCAAAACAAACATAGTGTAGTAATAGAATTTCAACTAGAATAGGGTACGTTAATCGTTTGCTTGGGACCAATAGGCTACTAAAGTGGTGAGCCAATTTAAAATCGTTAGTTTCGTATTGATTGTTGCTATTACTATTCACAACGTGCAAAAATCAAGCTGAGCGTTGACTCGACACAAAAATGATTCCATTGCACATCGTTTTATTAGAAAGAGAAAACATGGTTTGCTATCTCTTTTTAATCTTCACCGATGGCAGACACGAAGGGACTATAGTCGCTATATTCATAGTCTAGCGGATAGAATCTCGGGAACCAATTGAGCTGTCAGCTATTGCAAACACAACTTCCGAAACCGTTTTCTCGTGATTCAAGGCTTGCCTACGCAAACTAACACTATCTTTGGGTAGGGGAAAGATTCCCCTATCCGATGATGCCGATTTTTTTCCCCTCTGCTTGGGACCTAACACTACGGCGACCAATAAATTGATCTATTGTAGTATATCCCGTGTCTTTAATTTAAGGCATGTCGTATTACTCCATCACTATTGAGAAGTGATGAAGTATTCGATTTTTTTTACAGTTGCCACTCTTGCATTTATCGCAAGGATCCGACTCTAATTGAAAGGTCCCGCTATTTATACCCTTCTGAGTGTTGAAACACCCTCCAAAGGCGCGCCCCTTTGTCAGTCAAAGTTAGATTCCTTAACAACAAAACTAAGGTATGACACCGATAATGACCATGCATCAGAACCCTAGTCTTAACCACTTCAAACTAGGGAACAACGAATAGAAGATTAGGAATCACATAGATGAAGACAACCAACTCATTTTTTTCTTGTTTCAAGATCATCCTCGGTAGACAAAGCCGAGTTTTGTCACTATCAACAAGGCATGAAAAGTAACAAGGACTAAATAAGATTACTGAAAAATTCTGTTCCCCTAGTTTGAA